CAACCAAGAGGATTTTTATGATAAACTTCACCAGAAAATAATAGAATTGGAATATGAAAATATACAGTATGTATACAAGGAGATTTCAGTGCAATAGTGGATTTGGAACTGATTATAAAACTAGAAAGATGAATAAAAAAGCTAGGAAAACACTTCCAAAAGTTTTTTTTTAATGGTGGAAGAATTAAGTGTTCAAGATGCTTGGCGAGGAACTCATCCTGAGATAAAGCAATATACATTTTATTCAAATAGACACATGTCTTGGTCTAGAATAGATATGATGTGGACATCACCAGAGTTAATATCTAACATACAAAAAATAAACATTGAAACAAGTACCTGGGCAGATCACAACCTGTTAAAAGTTACATGGAGGGGACAAAAAAAGAAGCTAAGATGGACAATGAATGAATTAATATTGAAAGAAAAGGAATTTACTCAATTCATTCAAAGAGAATTTGATTTTTTTTCTTTAAAGAGAACAGAAAAGAAGAAACTTCATTGCAAAATGTATGGGATACAGCGAAGGCATATATTAGAGGACTAACCGTAACATATGTGGGAAAGAGAAATAAAAAGAAGATATAAGCTCCAAAGAAACTGGAAGAGGAATATAAAAGATTAGAGATGGAATTACAAAAAACCCACAAAAAAAGAATATAAAAAACCAAATGGACTTAAAAAAAACATAAGTTGAATTTAATAGATAAAGAAGAGCTAGCACAAAAAATTAAAAGATCTAGACAAAACTTTTTTGAAAATGCAAATAAGCCAGGAAGATGGTTGGCATATAGATTGAAAAAGGAGAAAGAAAAGAAATTGATTCATCAACTAACAGATGATGAAGGGACTCTTTATTATCAAAATGATGATAAAAAGAAAATAATCCAAAATTATTATGAAAAACTATAAGATCAAGAGGTAATTTCAGAAGAAAAAATAAAACAATTATTAGAAAAAGCAGACCTGCCTGTAGTACCAGAAACAAAGCAACATTAGAAGAAAGAATAACAATGATGGAATTAACAGAAGCAATTAAAAGACAAAAGAATGGCAAACCACCAGGTCCAGATGGTCTACCAGCAGAACTATATAAAACCCTACAGGATTCTTTAAGCATCCCAATTTTGGAAGTATTTAATGAACTATTGATAGAGGCGAAAGTACCAAATTCCTGGATGGAGGCATATATTACTCTCATACCAAAAGAAGATGCAGACCTGCAAAGGATAAAAAATTATAGACTGATATCTTTATTGAAGGCGGACTATAAAATATTTGCTTCAATAATTGCAGAAAGACTAAAGAGATTCTTAAGTCAGTTTATACACTCAGACCAAAATGGCTTTTTACCTAAGAGACAAATAAAAGACAATATAAGAATAATCTTGAACACTTTGGAATATTATGAGGTGCATTCAGAGAAGCAAATGGCGCTGATCTTCTTAGATGCACAGAAGGCATTTGACAATGTGAACTGGTAATTTATGCTAGCACAATTGAAGGAAATGAATTTTGGGGAGAGATTTATTAGGATGATCAAGGCAATATATTCTAAACAAACCGCAAAGGTGATGGTAAATGGGGATATGACTGAAAAGGTTAATAAGAAGGGAACAAGACAAGGATGCCCCTTGTCGCCATTACTTTTTCTATTGACATTAGAAGTACTAAATAGCAATGTTAGACAAGATAAGGGGATAAAAGGTATGGAAATAAAACAGGATAATATATAAGCTACAGGCATTTGCAGATGATTTAGTTTTTATCCTAGAACAGGGGTCGCCAACCTTTTGGACCTCAGGGACCACCAAACTAATAATTTTAAATCCCGCAGACCACTAATATGAATTTTGACTGACAGTGGCTTGCTAACGTTGGTGGGAAAGTTGGTCCCATAGTCCAGAGCTGCAGTAGTCATGAGACTGGCGCTTTGGTCATCCCGGAGCAGCTGCTACTCCACCCGGGTGCACCGGCCTGCCATGGACTGGAGGAGCTGCTCCGGGATGACCAAAGGGACAGTCTTGTGACTACTGCAGCTCTGGAATATGGGACCGACTTTCCCACCAATTTCAGCAAGCCACCCCAGGGCAGATTTCCCTCCCCCGCCGTTGGTCTTACCTTCCAGTTCCAGCTCACGTGGCTCTACTCAAGGTAAGGTTTGTGCTTGGCTGAAGGGTGGGGGGCAGCGGGTGGGCAGGCCATGTGGGTGGCACAACCTTGTGTTCCCGTGTAGCCTGGATTAATTGCTTTGAGGGGAGTGCTTTGGGGGGGACATTTTTCTGAGGACCACCAAAATTTTCTCATGGACCACCAGTGGTCCCCGGCCCACCGATTGGTGACCACTGTCCTAGAAGACCCATTAGAAACAGGACCTAAGTTAATAAAAAAAATAGAACAGTATGGCAAAGTGGAAGGATTAAAAATATACAGAGAAAAAACTAAGATTTTAGTGAAAAATGTTACAGAGAAGCAGAAAAAAGAGTTAACAAGGAGATTAGATATCCAGATCACTAAGAAAGTTAATGTTAGACCATTTGCAGCGTGACTGCTATTGTGAGACAGCCCAGGAGCAAAACACAGCACACAGAGGCTTTGACTATTTAACAGTGGTTTATATACAAGACATATACAGAAATATACATGGTTGGCAAATACCTGACAAGCTATCAATCTTAACTCTTTAAGGAAAACTCTGCAATGGAGACAGGACACAAGGAGAGAGAATACGCCCTCTAATGGCTACCTTATATAAACACCTCTTAAAGTGGTAAAACTTCTGTGGACCCCTTCTTAGTCTAAAACCGGCAATACCAATGCTAATTCATCTTCATTGCATCAGCCTTACATTGCATCAGCCTTACTGCAGCTGGTCAGCTCTTAAATCTCAATACCTTAACAGTTAAATATCTAGGGATTCAGTTAACAGCAAGATGTGTGACGATCAAGGAAGATAATTATTATAAATTCATACAACAAATTAAGATTGATCTGGAAAAATGGAAATTTTTGCAATTATCGTTAATAGGGAGAATAGCAACAATAAAAATTAACATATTGCCGAGATTATTGCACCTGTTTTAAACAATTTTGATGAAATTGGAGAAAAAATATTTGGAAGATCTTAATAAAATAATATTAAAATACATTTGGCAAGGGAAAAAAGCAAGAATTAACCTAAAAATGTTACAGGTGACAAGAAGTAGAGGAGGTTTTAGATTACCTAACTGGGAACTATACTACCAGGCCACAGTGTTAATATGGGAGAAAATTAGAGAACAATTGAAGATACCAGTTTGGCTTTCGACAATGGAAGCATTTACTCATTCAAATATGGGAAATATTGTTAGATACAAAGACATTTTGAATGAAAAGGGTGAGCTCAAAACTAAACAAGAATTAAATGAGCAAGGGATTAATATGGTTTGCTATTCAAATGTGCAAATACAGTCTAGATATGAAAAAGGTGCTAAACTGGATGGTTTCTATAAAGAATTGACAGAATTGGATAAAATACAAACAGGAACAGAAGAAAAACTGATAAAAATTGTATAATTATTTACTGGGTATTAAAATGGAAGAACAAGTGAAGGAGTCAATAGGCAAAAAAAATTGGTTATACCATAGAATTAGACAAATGGCAGAAACTATGGGAGAGAAACTATAAATTAACAATGTCAACTGCATACAAAGAAAATAGTTTTATAGATGGCATTTTGCACCGGCAAGACTGGCAAGGATGTTTAAAGATAAATCCGCTAAATGCTGGAAATGCCATCAGACACCTGGATCATAATACCATATGTGGTGGTCATGCGTAGAAGCCAAAAGATATTGGACAAAAATGTGGTTGGAAAAGATGATACAGCAACACATTGAATTAAAACCTGAAATATTTCTGTTGGGGATTATACCTGAAACTTATAGTAAAGAAAAGGCATACTTAATTATTCATGTATTAACTGCAGCTAGAATTCTATTTGCACAAAATGGGAAAAGTGAAAAGATTCCGACAGATGAGAATGTGATCAGGAAAATATTAGAATGTTTAGAAATGAACAGGCTAACACTTGCAATTAAAGAAAAGGAACAAACTGAGTATTATATGGGAACTATTTTATCAATGGGTGGAGAATAAATATGGAAATTAGAAATTAAAGAAGATTAGCGAAAAATAGTAAGCATGTGAATAAGAATTAAATATGCTAAGATGGGGATTGTCATAATAATTAGATATATTATGCATAGTAGTATAAAGTAAGAATGGATTATTAATACTATAGAAATGAATATGTATTAACTGTAATTGTTGTTGCACAAGATATTTGTACCCAGACGACACACTGTTTAAATGGAAGATGGATTGTTTGTATAAAATAAAAAATGTTTTTTTAAAAAAACCCGCTTAGAAAGGGCTGTTAAGCACTGTAAAGTGGTATATAAGTCTATGTGCTATTGCTATTACACAAACAAGTAAATAGGAGCTGGACTAATTTGCATGAAGATCAACCTTCTCTCAAGCTGGGATTCATTAGCCCATTTTGCAGTAGACTTTGCAGTTGGTTTCTAAATTATGGCTTATTTATCCAAGGTACATATCACATAACACTGGTATCTATATAATTCATTTATCCACTAGCTCAAAGTAAGGAACAGAACTGGAGCAAATAAATCAAGTACACTAAAATTGTAGTTTATGTTTATGATTTCTTAGGTGAGAATTCCTAGCTTAACTGTTACATGTGAGAAGCCCCTGTATTTAATTGCACCTGACAGCACAGTTAAAATTACTGAACAACCTAAAAATTAAACACATTAAATGCAGGAAGAGTTGAAGGTATACTAGTGTAAGCATATGGTCACTCTCTGCAGTATGTGTTGGTAAATACAGTGTATTAATTATCAAATGGATATATCCTTAAATCCAAAAGGGTTCCAGAGTCAAAGAATGAATTACCTTTTTGGATGACCCCTCCTGTTTCTATGTTTTCCTCCTGCAGATGTGCCACCGATTGTGGTGAAGGCTCCTAGCCCCACTCCTTCAGTGGAGGCAGATGCCCAGCAAGATCAACCGCCCCCACCCATCTCCCCAGTCCCCTCACTCAAGGAGCTTCCCCCAGTGTTAGAAGAGCCGCCACCACAGGGATCTCCTGAACCAGAAAAGACTGAGGGCACACAGCCTCTTCACCTTGCTAAAAAGCAGGAGACTGCAGCCATTTGTGGAGAGACAGATGAAGAGGAGGTGGAGAGTAGTGGTGAGGGGATCTTCCGAGAGCGGGATGAGTTTGTCATACGTGTTGAAGATGTTCAGGCTCTCAAGGTATGTAATGAGTCTTGAGCATTGACATGGGTGTATACATTAAAGACACACTTTAAATATTAAAATTGAAAGGTATTATTCAAATACTCTAAGAGCAGAAATAGGTGACTTGTTTCTCTCTGCATGTTTTTAACTTCCTCTGTTGCTAGCTGCAGCCTGTTCAAAAGATTGTGGGAACTGTAATGCAGAATACCTGAAGCATGCTAGCTGAGCTTTTTTCAAACTAGAAACTCTTAGTGTTCTCAAAAACTATATTTAGTGTTGCAGCTCAAAAATTGATTTCAGAATTTCTCAACAGTTAAACTTTGACATTCTAAACTGTAAAGAAAACTTCAGAAAATATTTGACGGAGGGAAAATTATGTAATTAAAACGGGGTAGTTATAAATGATAGGCTTTGTAGTCCAAACTAAATTTAATTGCACTTAGTTCCCATTGAGATCACGATTAAAAAATGACCATAGTATAGTGACCAAAGTTCAGTGAGTCCTACATATGACTGGTTTAGTTTTATAAGCAACCTATAGAGTCCATTTATTTTCCCAGAATGTTACTTCCCTTTAAAAATTGTATTAGGTGATTGTTGACAAGCTATTAAATCTTTATGAACACTTATGGGCATATGAAGAATCAGGTTAGCTTATCATTAATCGATTCATACAGAAGGACAAATTGGGGAGAAATGCAGCATATCTGGGAGCTCTTTGTTGTCATTTTATGCAATTCTCTTCTGCTACAATCTTTGTTAGAGGATAGTAGTTGAGCTTATTAGCTATCTAATGCTTGGCACCACTGTAACTAATCCTTTGCCCTTCTCTAGCTTGCACTTCAGACTGGGCGGGAACCACCTCCAATCTGGCGAGTACAGAAAGCTTTGCTTCAAAAGTTTATACCAGAAATCAAGGATGGGCAGCGTCAGTTCTGTGCAACCAGCAATGTGAGTGTCAACACCATCTGTTTAAATACTGTCATACTCTCAGTGAAGACAGAAACATGATAGATATGAAATAAGCAAATTATATTCAAGTATTAAGCTCTGTTCCTATTCCTCCTTTTGCTCCCACCCCCCTTCAGTATGATTCTACCATAAAGGTAGAATGTCAAGCCAAGTATAGAAATACTTATTTTCTTTTGTTAGCCTGTTAATAAAAAATTACCTTCGCACCCCACCCCTTTTTTTTGCATTTGGGATAGTCCAATTGAACAATTAGCTTGATCTGTTATTGTATTGGGCAAAGGATTGCAATTTCAGTTCCATTTGTTCCCTCATTATTTCTGGAAGAAGATAAGTTATGAATGGGGTAGTCTCCCCCTCCCTTTTATTTCTGTGTTCAATTCTTTCTTTTCCTGCTTCACCCCTCAGTATCTGGGCTATTTTGGTGATGCCAAGAACCGTTACCAACGACTCTATGTTAAATTCTTGGAGAATATCAACAAAAAAGATTATGTCCGTGTCTGTTCCAAGAAACCTTGGCACCGGCCTCTGCAAGCTGTCAGGTAAAGGATTAGGAAGGTGGGTACATGTAAGAGAGTCCAGTTCTAGCTGAGGAACAGTAATACCTCTGGGTAATTGCTAGATTTCATTCTAGTGTGGCTGTTTTCAAATTGTTCTTTTCTCCAGAGTTGCCTTGGGACATACATACAGTACATACATGCATTTCTTTCATCTCCATATCCCTCCAATCAAGCTGAATTAGAATTGTCTAGATGACTTCCATACAAGAAACTTTTTCTCATTTTTTAAAAACTCCCCTTAGTGGTTGCTCTTTGCCTTTTGTTTTTTCATCCTTAGTTACATCCCCTCACACATGAGGGTGATTGGCTCTTGTCACTGCCCTTTCACTCTTCCAGTTTAAGGGATGCAGAGCTCGGCCTCTTTTATTCTGTTCTGCTTAATCGTGGAGCAGCTTCTAAGGTTAAGGGTGCCTTTACTTCCCTCACCGGCTCTTGCTTTTCTGGGCATCCTTTACCTTGTGTTGCCCATCATTGCCTCTGATTCGTCTTGAACTGCGAATTAGCAATAGCAATGGCACTTAGACTTATATGCCATCCCAGCACTCTCTGGACAGTTTACAATGTCAGCATATTGCCCCCAACAATCTGGGTCCTCATTTTACCGACCTCGAAAGGATGGAAGGCTGAGTCAACCTTGAGCTCCATCAAGATTGAACTCCAGGCTGTGGGCAGTTCGCCTGCAATACTGCGCCACCAGGGCTTTCTACAAATTAGTTTGTAGACTGCCTGAACTTCTGTTGTGCTTGCTGGCTGTTGGGATAAAAGGATTCCCAGGGCCTCACCATTTCACTGATTTTTCCATTATGGCTTTCTTTGCACTCAAACTCTCCTGCTGCAGTAAAACTGACCTCTCAAGTCAGCTCCCCCCTTTCACAGTCCAAGTCGCATGGTTTTGGCTCTCAGTGCTCTGTTTTTCTGGTATAGGAGACAAAGTCAGCCCAAGGCTTCTACCCCCAAGGTTCCAGTGACACCCAAAGTTGAAAAACCAGAGAAGCTGGAAGTCCCAGAGAGAGCTGAGAAACCCGAAAAGTCTATTAAGTTTGAGAAGCTCCCCAAGGCTGAAAAAATGGACAAAACAGAGAATCTTCCCAAAGTGGAGAAAGCACCTAAGCCAGAAAAGCCCCCCAAGGCAGAGAAATTAGCTAAGGCAGAGAAGCCCCCCAGAGTGGAAAAAGAAGACACTCCTGTGACCATGCTCACAAAAGATGCCCCAGGCAGCGGAGCTTCTAAACCCAAGCCAAAGCCAGCCAAAGTGAAAGCTGAGCCACCCCCCAAGAAGAGGAAAAAATGGCTCAAGGAAGCAGCATCTTCTTCAGACTCAGATTCCAGCCCTGACCAGCAGAGTGAGGAGGGTGAGTAGAAGGGGAAAGAAATTCCACCCAGGTGATGGGCATCAGAAACAGGCAGTTTAAAAAGGATACCAAGGACCTCTGTAGTCTTGGGAAGGGAAGAAATGTGGCAGAGCTACTTGATCCAAAGGCAGGCATCATACATTATACCAGTGTTTTTCAATCTTGGCAACTTTAAGTTGTGTGGATTTCAACTCCAGTAGGCTGGCTGGGGAATTCTGGGAGTTCAAGTCCATACATCTTAAAGTTGCCAAGGTTGAGAAACACTGTATTACACTGTTATGTGCTTGTTGGTAGTTTGGTGTGTTGTATGAACCTAGCCATTGGGGTTTATTTAACAGATCATACTGTGGCTTACTGCCATATGTGTGAACTAGATTAAGGAGAAATTGTGATTTTATGAAGGTGGGGAATCTGGAGCTCTCCACATGATCTGGATTAGAAATCCCAGCAGTTCTAGCCCACAAGAAGAGAAAAGAATCCTGGGAGTTGTGATTCAGCCATTTTTTAAATGCCACTGGTTCTCTGAAAAGCCTTAGGAAAGGTTCTTATCATTAACCATAAGAGCTAGACTGAGAGAAATTATAGAAGGCTGACAATAGGGAATAGAAAGAAGAAGTCCTGTCTACAAGGGGGGGCTTTTAAAGTGTAAGATGAGAAGAAACTCCAGATGAGTCAAGGAGAGAGCAAGACTGGTCTTTCTCTCTCTATTTGGTTGTACTGTATGTATAATCAGCATTTCTCAACCTTGAAAACTTTAAGATATGCAACCTTCCACTCCCAGAATTCTCCAGCTAGCATACTAGCTGTGGAATTCTGGAAGTTGAAGTCCACACTTATTAAAGTTGTCAAAATTGAGAAACACTGCCATAAACTTACTGTGTTTTGCACTTGTTTGTTAACCTGTATTGAACATTTTGAAAAACAGGGCTATAGCTGTCTTCTAAGTCATAATAAAATAATGTTCCATTTCCCATTCAGAACATGTGCCCACAGGTCGCATTCTCAATACACGAGCCATGAAGGAGATGTACCGCAGTTACGTGGAAATGCTGGTCAGCACTGCCCTTGATCCAGACATGATCCAAGCTCTTGAGGATACAAATGGTGCGTATTCTTGTGTAGAGGTGCTTAGATGGGCTCATAGGCCAGTTTGAAAAGCCACTGGCTTTTGTGTCCATGGGCCTTCGGGAACCATGTAGCCCTCCTGTTTACTTTCTGCTTTGCTGTGGTCACTCATATTTGCTGTATTGTGGTTGGCCTTCTGGAGATACAAAAGCTTTTTGTTCCCTAGCTATATTTGCTTAGGAAATTCCTTGGGCCAGAACAGACTGAATATATACATTCTTGTTCTATGTTGCCATAGTAAGAACTATAAATATGCTATTTAAAAAGTATAGACATCTCCACATTCTTCCTAAGATGCCTGATGTTGCAAAATGCACTCTAAATCCCTCAACTTTGATCTCTTGTGACTAGAGAACACCACTGAATGTTTCAGTGTACTCCTTTGTAGCAGTCATTTGTATTAGACAAAGATATGAAGGGGTGGTTGGAGGAGAGGTTCTCAAACTTTGCAATCCCACAGCCCTTTAAAATTATCAGTGAAATTCTGCATAAAAGTAAATAAAAACTAAATAATAAATAAAACTAATTGTTATTGGCAGATATTTTGACAAATGTCAAGACCCATGGGTTTAACCATTGTTCATAGTGCTCTCTGGATTTTGTTTGTTGCTTTGCATATGTAAACTTGCTGTAGGCTTCTCCCGGCAAAGCAGGAGTGAGCTTTAACAGTGCTTCGGTTTTGCCTGCCTAAGCCCAATGAATTCCCCCCTGCCCACCCACCCCAAAAAGTGTGCCCCCTCTAAATAGTTTTTTTAGGGGACCCACCATTTGAGAACACCTGGAGTAGAGTGGTCCTTAAGCACTTATTTGTAACATATACCGTAGTATTTTGAGAAATCTGGTCTTGCCTAAAAAAATCCAGCCTCTTCAAAAAAGAAATGTGACCTTTGAAACCTTGTTATGCTCCTTTCACTTTCTTGTCTAAAATTCAGTCCACTGCAGCCAGCTTTCCTTAGTGCAGGATGCTGGCTGCCCATGTCCTGCATTGCAAGTTTCCTGTCCCTGCCCATCCTGGATGGTTTTTTTTTGTGACCTTTGCCATATGTTTTGACAATCCTATCCCAGATGAACTGTATCTCCCACCCATGAGGAAAATTGATGGGATTTTGAACGATCATAAGAAAAAGGTGCTGAAGAGAGTGTCACTGAATCCATCGCTACAGGTACGGAAAGAGGGCAAGTAGAATATGCTATTCCCCCACAGACTGATTTTGGAAGAGGGTATTTATTCTAAGTATAGACTTTACTCTGTTGCCAAGATTTAGCTCAAGTGTTTTCTTCTCATTCACCTTCACAACAACAGTTGGGGAGCAAGGAGAGGCCCTGAAGACCAAAAGGTTTGTAACACAATCATAGTTTACATAGGCTAAGAATCCAAGCATGTTGCCTTGGATGTTTCAGTTCCTCTAGCCATGTATCTTGCTTGTAAATGGCTCTGCACTGTCACCCTTCAGTTCATGAGTCAGCAGCTTTTTCATATGGGGTTGGTATTAATCATATATGGTGGCAGGAATGCCAGAAATTTAAATTGGCATTTTAAAAGAAATGAGAGTGAAATTTCGCTTGATCACCACATTGCACAAGGTTTCAGTGACCCTATTCCTAAGGCCTCACAAAATCTAAGTCAAAATGCTGAAATGTATCTCATGAGTTTTAGCCATGTCTTTTTTTTTTTTGTGGGGGGGGGGGGGGGGGGGGGGGGGTGTATTTTTGAAGATCTATGGGTGGTATTTAGAAGTATCTCAAGTGCTACTTTGCTGGCCACTTGTTTAACATTTTCTACTTATAGTGTACTTTTAACCTCAGAGATGTTTGCAAAATTTTCACCATAAACAGGAGAACTTGGTTGTTCCTTTCTTTCCCCTGTTTTAGCAATATACTGTGAAAGTCAGCTTTAACTTTGCATGCATTGTACTGGGAAGAGGATTTATACAGGTAGTCCTTGTTTAGCAAATGGCTCATTTAGTGACCATTCACAGTTACAACAGTTATGAAAAAGTAACTTTACAACCAACCATTGCATTTGTGACCTTTGCAAGTCTGTAAAGCAAAGGAAAGCTGAAATAATATAATCACAGTCAAGGTTTCACTTAGCAACTGTTCTGCTTAATGGCCAAGTTGCCAGTCCCAATTGTGGTCGCTAAACAAGGGCTACCTGTATGCCTTGTTGAAATGATCAGACAAGTCAAACAAAAAGGCTGTTTTTCTATCTTTTAAAATGAGGCACCCTGCTCCCAGCTAAGAAAAGCCATTTCCTCCCCATTCTGTTTAAAAACAGTTTGTGAAATAAGAAAAAATAAAATCTTCAAATACAGGGGAAACACAGGTTTCTTTGGTGTCACATTGCCCAGGCTCTAGACATGCAGTACATGTTGGACTAAAGGTATGAAACTGGTTCTTTAGGATCACCTGATTTTCAGGACTTTGTAATATTGGTGTCTGCTTGAATAGCATGTAGCTCAATTTTACTAATCAATGAGACTCATGTCAAGTAATGTAGTTCTTGTCTGTTTTAAGGAAAGTAGTAGTCTGGTCCTACTTATATACAGGGGTAGTTCTCCCCTAGACCATCTCCTACATCTAATCTGTTGTCTCTGGAGTCTTTTCAGTGGCTATACCCAACTTTATTATTTCAGGATGTTGCCATCTCCCTCTATATATTTAAATATCTGATTTGTCTAGTCCCTAACATCTTGGGACCTTTGTAACTACAGAAAGTGGAATGAATTGACCCAACAACTGGAGGTTGTAAAGAAGCTTCTTCTTCTCACATTTACTTTCTTCCCCATCCAGGAGGCACTGCACATGTTCCCCCAACTCCATGCTGAGACATGTGATACAACAGTTAGGTTGAGCCCAGGTGGTGATCCTTACAACCGCAAGACACTCAACAAACTCAAGAAGAATGTATCCAAACCACAGGTAAGTGTTGTGGATGAAGGTGGTGCCCAGGATCTGTGGCAATCTTATTCATTTATACTGATTATTCTTATTTCTCTCTTCCACTAGAGAGCTCAAGGTAAGAATAGTTGTGCTCCTACTTATCTTCTGTTTTATACTCACATATTGCAAGTGTGAACAATAGAGCCATGGGCTATTAATGAGAGTTTCATGACTGAGAAGTGATTTGAATGTGGTTTACTGTCAGCCTTGTAAGGTAGTCCAGACAAGAAGCACACCCAGAAGTACTAGCTTTAACTTTATAGTAAAGGTTACATTAACAGAATTTTGCAAGTCTGAAAGTACATCTCCCCCCCCACCTTGCCTTTACAGTTCGAGACACCAGAGAGGGTCCTTTCTGAAACATTTACCACACCTCCATTCCTTCTGTGGACTCAGCTGCTGCTTGTCTGACCATTGCCTAGTCTGCCATTCTTTCTCCTGTCTCTCATGGTCATTCCTACATACCATTATAATTACCTTTTCGTACTCTGATCCCAGCTTTCCCCTACCTGGTACCCTCTTGGGAAATGCTGCTCTGGGTTTATATTATGCTCTCCATAGCTTATTGGTAATCAGAAATAGATGGTTTATAGCATTGCTACTCAACATTGGCAACTCAAATAGCTGACTGAGGAATTCTGGGAGTTGAAGTCCACGCATCTTCAAGTTGCCAAGGTTGAGAAACACTGGACTTTAGCCTGTGGGTCACATGCAATTGTGATTTTCTGTTTTATCTAAAGTGCAGTTCTCAGTGCACCTACTTTGTACCTTCAAAAATTCTAAGGTCTCAAAAATGTAAAAAAAAAAAAGCCCTCTGGCCTCTCACCATATCACCAGTACATCCTCAGAGACCAAAGAAAAACATGAATTGGAAAGTGCAGCTTCTGCCTCTAAACGGCATGTTAGGGATAACATTGTTTACCCTAACTGGTTTGGGTAAAAATAATAAATAAGTTATCATGGTTTGTTGGTTAAAGTGTGTGTAACTTTAACTACAAGAATGTAATTAAGGGTGTGGTTGTAAAAGCACCATAAAAGAAGCAAGTCAATTGCAGCTCGCTCTCTCTGGCTTAATGATCCCTAATTACTGGATGGATTGATGACTGCGTTTTACCTTACTGGAACGGAGGAGAGAAAGGAGTGTTGATTTCTCAATGGAGAGAAGAGATAATACGGACTGATTTATTGTAAGTGAACTGACATTGGCTATTCAACACGGACTTTGCAAATTGAATATCCCCGACTGGACTGACTGAAATGATACATGACTAATGGACAGTTTATTTTGACTATGCTATAATTCCTAATGGAATAAACTATATTTTTGATAGCACAAGCGTATCTGTTTTTTTACTGCATGTTAACTAAAATACAAACTTATCTCACACATTTACCTGTCTGCCTATCTGACTACGCTACACATTCTGTTTAGTTTGTTTTCCTTAACACTCGTTGGGGAATTCAGGCTTAACACGGCATATGTATCATTATAGAAGCCATTAATTCTGTACTTAATTGTGCATTGATGATTAACATTAAATCTTCCTCCCCTTCCTCCCTAATATAACAACTTATTCTAGATTCACATTGCTAGCAGATATGCCTACTCTTCTGCAGCAGTCACCTCTGACTAAATTTATGTAGGTTAGGAGCACTCTTTCTCATACAAATTACATTCATTCTGGCACACTTTTTGTTTTGTTTTGTTTTATGGAAAAAGTATTCAGTTTTTCATGGGGCTCCATTTGAAATATAATTTTAAATTCCAGTTAAAAAAATTCAATCCATTATTTTTAAAAAATAATAGTGGTGCTATGTAACTTTGTCCTCTCCTGTTGAATCTTGGGGATATTAGATAAAATAGATAGGATTTATATAGTTTTTGATAAATAAATAGATAAGAGATATGAAAATTAGAGCCTATGTTAGATGAGATACAGAGAAGAAGCTTTAGTGAGAAATTTGAGTATACTTAGAAAAATACAATTCTCCAATGCTGTAAGGAAAATTTGACAAAATTTACGCTTCCTTCCTCTATTAACAAGGTCGCAAAACTTTTTAAAAATAGCAATGGATTATGAACACAGAAAAAATCAGAAAGTTAGTTTAAAAGGGCAGTCCCACGAGACTTTAATTTAAATTGAGAGTGAAGGCAATCTCAATTTAAGCATAATAGTATAACTTCCACTCCCATCACTGAATAAAACAACAATTTAATGTTAGTATTCCTTTGTCATTTTGTTAAAAAATAAATAAGTAATCTCTTCAAGAAGTTCCCTAGCTGAATAGTGCTCACTCTTCAACTATGGCTTTACAAGTTATAGAGATGTTACGAAGCACAGCACTCAGAGGAGGTATTTTTGCGACAAATTAGTCGTGGAAAACAAAAATCCATATATATGATATGTGCTGATACAGTTTTGAGCCATAGGTGTTTAGTGGTGGGTTTCCCTTTGAAAATTCCTTTGAAATTAGTTTGTGATTATTGAAATGCACATAGACATGCTTAGCTAAGATAGTAACCTGGATCCACCAGGATGTGGACTGGCCCATCTTGTGTAATGCCAGCAGGTGACGGAACTCGTGTAAAATGATCATCCAAAGAGAACAAATAGAGATTCTTGAATTAAACCTCACCTAGTAAATCTTTACCCATCATACAACCCAAATGGACTTTTCTTATTAATACAATGACAACCCCAAGAAACTTTATTGATTAGTCATCTGACCATATCAATATAAAATCAATACATAAAAAACAGTAGGACATACAGTATTCATAACAAATCACACATACAGTTAACCCCAATCTGTTCTAGGTTGTCTGTTCTCTTTGAAATGGCCTTTGATATAAAAATTGCACCTTTGCTAGCAATATACAGTATATGCAAGACATAAGGTATCCCAGTATTTTTTAGTTTTTAAATAAGGATCTAAATTAAGCAGTCCTTTCTGCAGAATATAGTTTGCAATCAAACAGGACATGTGCAATGTCTTCAACAGCTGGTGCATCACAGATACACAGTCTGTAATCTCCTTGTTCAAAACTCCTGGATTCATGCCTCAACACATACTTCAAGTTCAATGGGAAAATCTATAAGCAAATACAAGGTACCCCAATGGGATCACCCATATCAAGTCTAATAGCAGAATCAGTCATGCAACAACTCGAATCCATAGCTCTACCCACCATCCAGCCAAAATTCTGGACATGCTACATCGATGACACCTTCATCATCAGCAAACGCTCTCAAATTGAAGAAACACACCACCTACTCTATAACATATTCCCTGGGATCAAATTCACACATGAAGAGGAAACAGACAACAGACTCCCATTCCTCAACGTTGACATAAGAAGACTAGACAACGGAGAACTAGAAACACATGTCTACCGCAAACCTACACACACAGACCAGATCCTCAGCTTTGCAAGCAACTACCCCACCGCACACAAAAGAAGCTGTGTCCAAACCCTGTTCAGAAGGGCCAGGACGCACTGCAGCACCACAACACTAAGAAAAGCGGAAGAGAAATGGCTGCTCGATGTCTTTCTCCGTAATGGCTATCCAAATAACTTCATATTCCGACACACAGCACCCAAACCACAACACACCACACAGCCAACCACTACGCAAAAACTAACCCTACCGTACACAAAAGGGGTGTCGGAAATGGTAGCCAGAATCCTCCAACCCCTAGGAATAACAATAGCTCACAAACCCACAGCCACACTCCGCCAGGAATTATCCAGAACCAAAAACAAAATACAGAAGGATGAAAGAAACAATGTAATCTACAAAATCAACTGTAACCATTGTGACCAATTCTATGTGGGACAAACATCACGTCAATTAAAAACCAGGAACCATGAACACTGGCTGGCAGTCAAATGCCATGATCCCAAATCCTTAATCTCTACCCATATGGACACCAAACAGCACCAGTTCATTTGGAGCAACACAAAAATTATTGGCCATGCTACCACCCACCATGCTCATGAGTTCATCGAAGCCTGGCACTCCACAAGCAATTCTATCAACTGTCATGGCCCCATTGGAGCCTGGGTCTGAGGACAAGACAGAGCCAGAGCCGATGGAGGAGGATGACGTGGCCTCATTGGTCCCAGAGGAACAACCAGAGAAGCAAGATGAGGCAGCCCCGGGTCCCTCAGGACTTGGAAGGGTTGCCAGCGACACAGAGAGGGCACAGGATGACCAAGCAAGATGAGAGGAGAGGGAAAGTGTAGGCAGTGGAGCAGAGGAGCAACAGAGCTCCTGAGAAGAACACTTGCTTCCTGATCCTTGAGCACAGAGAATGGAGAGGAGGCAGGATCAGCGCAGGGCAAACAGACGACTTGGGAGGAGGGCACCCTGCCCCTTGTCAGAAGGCTCACCTGGGGAATAAGATTTAAAGAGACACCATGGGGAGGGGTACTTTTCGGGAACAAGCGTTGCCTTTTTCCAGCCACACTTGCAGTTACCAACATCTTGCCACTTTGTCTAGCCTTGTTTTGCCTGGGTTCGACTTGCCTTGCTTTGCCTAGCCTGGTCATGGGCAAGTACTCAGCGACACAGCTCTGCTTCGGGTTGTGCTGCAGCCCCAGTGACCCCTTTGTGCAATGAAGACTCCCTGGAACCAAGTTTCCTGAACCCTGGCTGCTCTCAGAACTGGTTGCTCCTCTGGACTCACAGCAGCCAGGAACTAGTGGAGGGGTGTGTTTGTGTGCGTGTGTGTTTGGAGCATTGCTCTTGGACTTACAGTGAACTGTGGGAACTTTGGGGGGGAAAGTTGGAGCAATGAAAGGGAGTTAAGCCTGCACTCTGGCTGTGTTGCTTTCATGCCCATCCCGGGGTCACATCACATCAACAGACACATTGACCTACAACCAGCCTACAAACCCCTCAGAATCCAATTCAACCACACAGCCAACCAGAGACATCACCAACCTCAACCAACCCACAAAAGCACCCCCCCAG